TGTCTGTCTCTGCCTGCTCTTCCCCTCCCTTTCTCCCCTGTCCTCTCTCTACCTGTTGAGAGCTATTGGGTTGTACCTGGGAAATAAAATACAAGCTTAGTTTAAATTACATTGGTTTAGTATTGTAAAACATCTTTTGAAGATAAAATCTGTGCTGATTTACACTAATTGACTTCTACAGGGTTGCACAGGGCAGATAGGGCATAATTCAGTCCTGGATGTTTTACAGGGTATAACTTTCAACAGAGCTCCAGTGACTTTACTTCTTACACTGACTTTCAATGCTACTTGTGTTCCTAAATCACAAGGGTTCTGGAAAATCCCACAGATGGGGAAGACTTAATTTGGCTTCCATTTTAAAGGACATTTTCAACCCAGATTGTGAAAATGAAAGCAGATTTACAAACTCTTTAAGTTTGAGCAATCAAGAGTTTAATAGTACCACTGTGTAAGGCATGTTTTTGAAACACATGAATGGTTTGTTATCTGTTTAAACAGCAGCTCCTTTTTGGAAACAAAGTCTGCATAACTTTTTCATGTGTGTTGACTGTTTCCCATATTTGTATGTGATATTTTAAGCTTGATTATCTCCCAATGTTGATATGCCTGTGCTGCCTCTCTAAATTCAGCTGATGCCTCTTGGCTTCATTGTATGTTTCCAAAAATACAAACTTCAGCATCACAGGATTCAACCAAAATAACTGCTAAAAGGAAATAGTTGCAGCCTAGGTAAGCTAAGCAGAAAAGGAATATTGAATGTTAAATTAACAGTACTGCTGGGAACAGTCCTGTCTCATTGTGAATGCCTTCTAATTTGCTCTTTCTGCTCTGTTTCTTCATGCTTTCCTGGATTCAGAGAGAGGTAAATGATTTTCATTTCTCCCATCATTCTCCATGTTTATCTGCCTAGCATTTACCAGGCAGTGCCAGCATCTGACATCATTGTATTACAAAAGCTAAACAGTAGTGAAGTAAACTAATCCTGTACCTGATCACATTTTTAATCCAGTAATGACAGTATTGCCAACACCATACATTCTAAAATCATGAGTCAGGCTCCCCCAAAACATGTGACTAGCAGCAAATTATGAGATTTGGGGGTGGGGGATCAGGTTCTTTGTATGCACCTTCTAATGTTTGAGCATTTAGGGTTGATATTTTCCAGCTCTTCTCTGCAGCTATGCGAACTAGAAACCTTTCTTTTGAAATAGAAGTTCAGATTCTCTCATAATTACATGACACTAAGAGCTGGGAGTTGAAGAAAAATTATCATGACAGTTGGCAATACTGAAATTACTCTCTTCATCAGTGTTTGGGATGGTGAATTGTCCTCCAAGTTATTTAAACTGTCATATAAACTTTTTATCTGCATGTTGTTCAGAGTTGTTATTAAGAATTCTCTACAATACTTTCTGTTGTATTGGAACATGTACAGTATTATTCTACTTTATTATTACCATTTGCTTTTCAGCTTAAAGTCTACAGTCAGGCAGCAGTTTTTCACTGGTAGAATTGTATTCCGCAAGTAAGAATTAGGTTTTGGCCTCAGTCCAGTTTCATTTGTTCTTCTAGATAGCAAGGCTCTGGGATTGGAACAGGATGGAAGGGAGATAGTTTAGAGATGAGGACAGTTCCTTGGGTGTACTTCAAGGAATATAATGAGGCTATTTTACAAGCTTGACTGGTTTTTAATCAATTCTTTAGAAAGCACTGGCCTAGGGAAATGTTTGAACTTTCGTGGTGATTATGGCTTTGCAAGCTAATGTACATTTCATGCATGTAAGAAGTGATGATCATTCTAGGCTAACATTGACAAAAGTGTGCTGTGATCTGCTTCGCCAGTTGTGAACATACTGTGATTACTTTTTTTTCTGTCTGAGTAATAAAGAACAAAGGGAAGCTTTTACTCCCAACTGTTCAATAAGGCAAATCTCACTGAAGACAATGTTCTGGTATTTGCTGCCATCTTCAATTAAATGTGCAGGAGAACTTTCAACACCTCAGTTTCATTTCTTTATCAGTTATTTAAATATTCCTTACAAGTGAAGGCTTTATCTTTCACTTGTATGCACAAAGGTAGGATTGACATCTAAAATATCTAAATAGTAATACACTAAAGTAAATGTTTATCCAAGTTACATGTTTGAATCAAAGGGATTGTTCAGAGATTTAAAGGCACACTAATATATTTTACATTACTTTAGCAATTATGAAAAATGACTTACCTAGAAAATAAAGCCCTCTGTGATGCTTCACTGTACTTTCCAATACTATCTCATCATGCACCTTCCCCTTGGAGAGAGCCCCTCCAGAGCTGAAGTCCCCATATATATTCAGAAACTTCCTAAAATAATTGAGATGGTATTTTGTCTCGAAAAGCGCTGCAGTGTGAAGGTTCATGCAAATAAAATGTAACACCAATGGATTGAATAAGGCTGTGCCAGTTCCCATTAGCTGAAGATCTGACCCTAAACCCTTACCTCTATGCATACAAAAAATTCAGTTACGTACAAGATAGGGACTGTAGGTTTGTTCTTAAGTTGAAACTGTATGTAAGTCGGAACTGGCGTCCAGATCCAGCCGCTGTTGAAACTGATCAGTTTCAACAGCGGCTGAATCTGGACGCCAGTTCTGACTTACATACAGATTCAACTTAAGACCCCCAGGCGTCCCCAAGTCAGCTGCTGCTGAAACTGATCAGCAGTTGATTCCAGGAAGCCCGGGGCAGAGCAACTCTGCCTCGGGCTTCCTGTAGTCAGCCGCTGGTCAGTTTCAGAAGAGGCTGACTTGGGGACGCCTGGGGCAGAGCGAGCAGCTCGGGTGCTGCTGGGTTGGGCCAGTAGCGCGGCCGCTCCTCGGCGCTACTGGACTAACCCAGCAGCACCCCAGCTGCTCTGCCCCAGGCGTCCTGATTCAGCCGCTGCTGAAACTGATCACCAGAGGCTGAATCAGGACTCCTGGGGCAGAGCAGCTGGGGTGCTGCTGGGTTAGTCCAGTAGCGCCGAGGAGCGGCCGCGCTACTGGCCCAACCCAGCAGCACCCGAGCTGCTCGCTCTGCCCCAGGCGTCCCCAAGTCAGCTGCTGCTGAAACTGATCAGCAGTTGATTCCAGGAAGCCCGGGGCAGAGCAACTCTGCCTCGGGCTTCCTGTAGTCAGCCGCTGGTCAGTTTCAGAAGAGGCTGACTTGGGGACGCCTGGGGCAGAGCGAGCAGCTCGGGTGCTGCTGGGTTGGGCCAGTAGCGCGGCCGCTCCTCGGCGCTACTGGACTAACCCAGCAGCACCCCAGCTGCTCTGCCCCAGGCGTCCTGATTCAGCCGCTGCTGAAACTGATCACCAGAGGCTGAATCAGGACTCCTGGGGCAGAGCAGCTGGGGTGCTGCCGGGTTGGTCCAGTAGCGCCAAGGAGCGGTGCTGCAAGACCAACCGGCAGCGCCCCACCTGCTCTACCACAGGCCCCGGGCTTTGCTCCACGTCTCCCTGGTCTGCTGGCTCCCCCAGCAGACCAAGGAGATGGGGAGCAGCTTTTCTCGCCCCAGAGGAGGCGGGCAGCGGGACCAGGCGTCCCGCCACTCCAGTCCTCCAGGGCGAGAAAATCCCCGTTCGTAACTGCGGATCCGACAGAAGTCGGATCCGCGTAACTTGGGGACTGCCTGTACACTGTTCAAAATGTGAAACTTTACATTAGAAAGGTAGTACAATACATACCATGCTGTCATGGTGAGTTTAACTGGGATGTCTCCCAGGGCTTCAGTTTAATACTGAGAGGCAATGACTGCAGTTCAAACAGGGTAGTATTAGCATAAACTCCATTTAGCATAATCACATTCACCTAATGTTTAGTGGCTAAGTGATGCCTAACCAGGTGTTAAATAGGCAAGCTATGGCCAATTAATATAGAACTTTACTGAAATAAAGATGAAATATTTGTTTTTATTGTCCCACTTCTATTCAGTACCATTTTTATTAAAGAAAAAAAGGTCTTGTCCATTAATAATAAGCATCAGGGCATCCTAATTGGATTCTCCTGTATTTTCAGCTGTACAGCAGAGCCAAGGTACAATCGTATGGTGGGGAGGAAGGGTGGAAATTGCACCCATTTTTCTGGACAGTCTTTTTTATGGCTTCTGTTTGAAAACACTATTCAATCCCAGTTAATATGTACTGTAAATTCCCATTAGATGGAGCATAGGATACATGCAGAATTATAGAAATTTTCATTGCAGGCTAAGGTGAATATTCATTTTATAGCAAATCACAGAATAACTGATTTATGGCGGTGGTTGTAATCTAGGAGCCTTACAGATTTTTCTACAATGAAATAGTTCTTGTCCCTTTTTTGCTTAAGCAGAAACAGGAATTCTGGTCTCAACCCTGCAAACACTTCTGCACATGCTTAGCATTATGCATGTAAGTATCCTAGAGGAATAGACTTTGAGGGGGCTAGGTATGATCCATGTGCAGCTGACGACCCGTTGGATATTACAGTCTATCTTGTCACCTAGCTTTGTGACAGATGGTCCCTTCTACCAAAAATCACAATAATATTCAGATTACCCCCTGTGCCAAAGGACTAATCAGTTACCTCAGGTAATTTGTACCTTAAATGTCACCCTGAAGACAGTGCTATTATCCTATAATAAACTATCTAAAGATTTATTAACCAGGAAAAGGAAGTAAGAGAATGATTTACAAAGTTAAATCAGGTAATCGTTGCATACATCCAAATGAGTTAGTCTTAAGTTTGAAAAGGTAATAAAAACTTCTGTAATAAACAGGGTCTGCAAGTCCATTAGAGCCAACCCATGCCAAACACATGGGATTTTTTGCTTATGCTTAGTCCCCTCAGGGTATGTCTAAATTGTAGAGGGTTTTTTTGAAAACCAGCCATTTTTCCTTTAAAAAAAACCACACTTCTCTTACATCCACACTGCAATCACGTTGTTTTGAAAGAAAATCGAAACAGAGAGGGGTTTCTGACAGAGGTAAATCTCTTTCTATGAGGAAGAATACATTTTCCGAAAGAAGAGGCCTTCAGGAAATAACACAGGTGCCCTGGTGGATGCTCCATCCATACTAATCACAACTCTATAGTTCCTATCTCCTGGCAGCTCTTAAAGCTGTGGGGACCCTGGACAAGCCTTGTGGCAGGAAGCCAGGCCTGGAGTAGCACCTTACTTGCACGGCTTTCCCTGCCATATAAATCGGAAGTATGGCCGAGCAACAAGCCCCCTGAAACTCCCCTGGCCCTCACAGGGAGCAGCACCAGGGCTCTCAGGACCCACCCAGGGGCACCAAACGCTATGCACCCTCCTGGTCCAGGGCGGAGATCCTGTCCCTCAAGCTCTGGGGGGAGGAGGAGACCCTGCAGGATCTCCACTCATGGAGGCGGAATGCTGACATTTATGGCCGGATGGCCGAGGCTTTGGCCAAGAGGGGACATCGCCCTCGCACCAAGTCAGGAGAAGCTCTGGGGGGAGGAGGAGACCCTGCAGGATCTCCACTCATGGAGGCGGAATGCTGACATTTATGGCCGGATGGCCGAGGCTTTGGCCAAGAGGGGACATCGCCCTCGCACCAAGTCAGGAGCAAGGTCAAGGAGCTGCACCAAGAATATGCCAGGCTCAGGGAGCACAATTCTCGCTCCGCTGGAGAACCACACTCATGCCCATATTAAGAATCCTGGGGGGTGGTGAAGCCCTTTCCCCACCTGTACTGGTGGATTCGGGGCTAGAGACACCCATGGTTCCCTGGCTGGAGCTCCTTGAGGAGGAGGAGGAGGACGCGGCCAGTACGGTCACCCTCACCCTGGAGCCAGTATCCCAGGCCCTGGCCAAGGAGGGATCATCAGGTGAGTGCTTTCAG